CTACATTGCACTTGATCAAACCCCACCAGGCATTCTACACCCTCCTCTTCATCAGTTTTAGATTGCTTGTTGTTCCCTTGTCCCTGGATTTGTTGGCTCACACCTCCCTTTCCCTCACCTTCCCCTCCCCCCAACAAAATTTCATTGGGAAACCTCACCCCATCCAGCCTGTTACCCTGATCGAGCCCCTCCAGGGATGTTTTTGTTCCCCAAACTCAAAGAACATTCTAAAGAAACAATTAGTGCCTCGTGGATGCCCAAACTGCTGTTTTGACGTGCTGTGGATGGAAGAGGGCTGGATTCTTTGGCGAAAGTCAGAGGTGGGAACATCGCAGAGGGTATTCACCTGGCTGGAGGGCATTTCAAGAAACCGCAGCCTCACGTTTTGATACTGTTAACATACTGTTAGAAGATGAAGTGACTGAATTTTGTAGCAGTCCCTTTTGACTTACCCTTTTGTATCATCTTCAAAGAAATTCTATTCCAGCCTCTTTGCCTATTTTAAAACTGGGTTACTTGTCTTTTTATTGATGAGTTATAAGGCTTATGAAGCAATTCTCATGCAAGTCTCTTGTTAGATAGGATTTCGAAGTGTTTTCCCCTTTTCTGTGGATTGTCTTCACTCTCCTGATGATGCCCTTTGAAGCACTGAAGTTTTACATTTTGAAATCAGTTTATTTTCCTTTCGTGACTTCTGCATTTGGATTCATAGCTAAGAAAGCATTGATTTATTCCCGTTTTTAAAACATTGTAGCTCTTAAAACTCTTAAAGTTGTAATTTACATTTAGATCTGTGTCTTTCTTGCCCAAGACTGTATCTTGGTCCCTAGAATAATGCCTATCCTCTAGAGAGTGCTTGATTCTTACTGCGTGAGATGAATTAATCAATATCTTTTGAGTGAGTGGTGAGTAAGTGAAAAAGCAGGCATGTGCTAGTCCCAGAGCTGTTGCTAGAAAATAAAACTCTCGGATTAAGAGAAAAGCATTCTACAGCAGAGGGACTCATTTGCACCTTGTCCCTGAGGAGTCTGCCGAGCAATGAGTTCTCCCAGTTCCTTCTCTGCCCGCTTCTCCGTTCCTGTTTGTTCCTCGGTGTTGCTTCTCTGCGGCTTCCTATTTGGCAGTTCCTGACCAAAGAGCGTCTAGTCTTCTTCTGTTAAATTCTAAGTGTGGTAAATGGTTCTCTTAACTATTTGTCACAGCAAAAAAAAGCAATCTTTTTCTTTAAAGGCTGGAACAGCTTTTCTTTACTGTTTTTCGTGTGTGAGACAAATAGATTGCAGTAGGGTGGTGGAGTCAGGAAAAAGAAGAGGAGCTTCAAAAAAATTGCAGGAAATTTGCATTATCTTTTCCTTCAATTCCTCCACCATCTTCTTGACAGAAGTCTCCTCATGGGAACAATGTCACCATGTCTGCACCTTACTTTTAGGTTAGACATCCCCATCTCTCTCTGGAGGATGTAACTATATACTCGGGTATAAGCCGAGTTTCCCAGCACATTTTAAATGCAGTTTTTGTGGTAAAATTAGGTGCCTTGGCTGATATTCGGTCGG